GTCTTTAATCTAATTAATAGTCAAAAACTCACAGATATTCAGTTAACATTCATGTAGAAAAGTAGAAAATCCTCACATTTGAGAAGCTGATTGAAGTGAAATTGTGCCATTTTTGCTTTAAAATAACAATAAATCAACCAATCAGTTGAGCTCTAATTGGATATTTTAAATCTGTGATGCTCTGAGGCAAAAAAAACTCCCAAAAACCAGGAGACTGTCTTCTGATATATGGTAGTGTATTTTGTATGATGTCAGTTCTGTTGGTGTCAGTGTCATCATCATATTACAGTGATAGCAGGTCAAACTAAAAAAAATTCCTCTTCAGCTGATAAATATTTCTTTTATGTAAACGTAAACAACTGTATCCTTCATAAAATATAATTATTTAAACAAACAGAGTCACCAGTGTGATAATATAATGCAGACACATTCCTCACAGAGGGTCCAGATTAGTAGTGTACTTCAGTATTTGAGGTACCTTTACTTTACTTGAGCTTTCCTACTTTATACTTTCTACTATACTTTTTATTCCATTAATTTATCTTACAGCAGTAGATTTTACATTAAGAAAGCGTACAAAATACTATTTGTTAAAGATTAAAGCAGTGACTGGTCCCATTGTCGTATCACTGATTTCTACGAGCTGTTGATGTCTTCATTTAAACAACTGTTTTCAATATTTTTATCCAATATTTCACTAAAAATCCAACATTTACAACATATTTCCCCTTCCTATTGATCATCACATGACCCCCGACATTCGACCTCTTTGTGTTGGGAAGTACATTTACTCAAGTATTGTAATTATATACAATTGTATGCTACTCCATACTTCTCCTAAATATTGTACTTTTTACTCCACCACACTACTTTACATCTGTAGTTGCAGATTCATATAAATAACACAACATATAATTGACCAATAAATTATGATGTATTATAATTAGTTAATATGAGTAAATTCCTATGCTGCCAGCAGTATAATAAAGTAATTCAATGTAGCTTCACTTCTAGTAGCTGCAACATCAAAGTGATTTACACATAAATGCTTCAATAATTATATTTTAATAATAATATAGACAGGAAATGGGCCATTGTACAAACTAAATACTTTTACTTTTAGTACTTTAAAGTCTCCCTTCACTCAAAAATATGTTTTTCTTCTTGTTCCTTCAGTGTGAGGTTTGAGGTTCACTGCGCAGACTGTGTTTAGTTTGACACTAAAAGGATGTTTTCACACTCATCTGCTGAAAGTGGAAAGTTTCTCTGAAAGTCAGATTTTTAAGGGGGCGGGGCTTACGTGTATGATTTGTGACATCACGTGTTGCTCAATAGTTTGGAAGTCAATCCAATTCCAGTATGCAATTTATACAAGGGCTGATGTAGAAATTTGAAACTGCAAGTGCACATAAACTGAGACCAGACTTTACAGTGACAGAGGAGACATCTTGTGTCCTGCAGGAAAACTTTAGAAATGAACATTTGCATATCCATAGATATCTTAAATAGATTACTTTTTAAGGATTTTAATGTGGAAATTATACTTTTGTTTGTTTGCATTATTGTTCCAAGCAGATTATTTGTATATCAACACCGTAGCACTTCTTATAGTTTCTTACAGTCTCTTTTTAAGCTGCCACGTTGCTGGTGTTAAAATGTAGTGTTTTTATGTTGATTTTGTAATTGTTTTGTTATGTGTGTCTGTTGTTGAGGTATGCTTGTTTCTTCTTCCACCACTGATCTGACAGCTGTTATATTCCCATAGTTGAAGCGACATAAGAGCTATTGATTGATTGACTTTAATCCAAATAAAACACGATACAGAAATCGTACCTGTAAACGATGTTTGCAATTCACAAATGTTATGTTGTTATTAAAAAAACTGCCCATTGAGCATTTCAGTGTCCCAGACCTGAGCTCCAGTGTCGGCTATACTTATCACTGCAACTGTCGGAAGCACTGTGGGCCTTGACGCTGACACCATGCAGTCAGCCCTATTTGGACACGGCTGCAGCGAACAGCCTGTCACTTCCACCAAACGCCATTCATTCAGTGTCCAACACTCACAACAAATACCGCTTCACTTCTTATCTTTTTTCTCTCTTTTTTTAAACTACCAAATCAGGTTTTTGCTACCACCCCTCCTTCAACTCCGACGAGTCTCTGTAGTGAGCGAGCTGAACAGGCACTTTGGACACAGTAGACACACAGTCCTATAAACAGCAACACACGCTTACAGTTTTTTAGGGAGCGGCTAACTTGTACGCTTTTCTTATTAATAGGCGACGGGGGCGTAATTACGCACGTACCCGGCGGTCATGGCGATGTTGTAGAAAGTGAGCCATGCCGTAGCGAGGGTGCTTATCGTTCTCTTCTTGTTGTTGTTTTCCTTCTCCTCAACCGTGCCGTCCTCCTCGCTGGACGCCATGGTACCGGGGGCAGGGTGGGCAAGTCAGGAAGGGAGCTGACAGCTGGGGCTGGTAGGGAGGGGAGCAGCGGGGTCATCCATCCATCTATCCGCCCCCGGCTCCCCCCCCCCAACTCTCTCGCGGGACTAAGTGCTGCAACAAGTGCGTGGCCTGCCGGTGGGCCAGAGACGGTCACTGTCAAAGTGTCTGTACCTTGTGATAGGATTCTAGTACCGCTGTACTTTAGTATATTCTCCACTTCTCCTCCACTAAATTTCAAATTTAAGAGGGGAAAATTGTAGCCTACATTTTACTTCACTGCAATTATGCAAAAATGCCAAATATCTAGAGAAATATTCATGGGGGTTGCAGAAATATATTCTGATTTAATTGTAAACAATGACATATATCAGTATTTGCTTGGAAAACTCCCCAAATGAAGATATTTGAACTAAAAAAGATTACATTATTGTGGCACATTAGTTAAACATTTAATAGAAATACCCAAAAGGTGACATTAGAAATCAATAAATTGTTTTGTTTCCATTTGTAGTACATGCAGTTTTTAATTGAACCTGCCTCTCACTTAGTCTAAAATTTGGCCATAACAGATCATTAAATTATTTTCCTTTTTTGACACATCATTTTAAAAATAATCTAAATTAATGTGTTAAATTTGACAGCATTTGACACTAAATTGGGGTGGTCAGGCATCTTTCAGTGGTGGTAGCCGCCCCACTAGATCTGCCTCTGTTATTAGGCTAATACTTTTACTTAAGTAAATGACAAATACCTTCTCCGCAACTGTAGTCTTGTTAAAGAGGCGTAGATATATAATGTGTGACTCCCTAAAGAAACAATTCTCAGGGCCCACATACTAGAAGTGGTTCCTCTCATGATTTTAAATAAGACTTAATATTCATTACAAGAAGATATCTGATTGTTTTCTCAGTCTCCTTCAAAATACATGAATGAACAAAGCATAAAGTATTCACGTTCTAGAGCTAAATGTATTTGCAGTGCTAATCCTGTGGTCTGAAACACGAGCATTAACAAGCATTATCGGATAATTTAGCAACAAAATGCAAATTTTTGTTTGAGGGAAATGAAGGAGCCTATTATAGTTATTAGTTTCTAAGTGGGTCTGTTTGTTATGAGCAAAAGATAGCTTGAGTTTTCAGCGTCTGGTCATAACTGACTGGAAACGACACACAATGGGAATCTAAATATTATTTAGTTTATTTATTTTAAACTGCTTATGATGTTTCCTCTTGAGCTTGAAACCTTGAGTCTGCACTCTATGAAACTGAGGGAGTGGATAGTCTTTAGAGTCCCTTCTATTCAGGGCTTGTCAAACTGACAGCAGTTCCTCTATTGTAGGAAAATCACCACTTTATTTTTGCAGTCTGGTGCTTTCTATCAAAACCACCAATTCTACAACTGCTCTGGCCATATTTTCTTTGTCTTAAATCTTGAGATACACCGGTCTTTGGTCTCTTGTTTAGAGTAGTTTTATTCTTGGTATTGAGGTAACAGGCACATGGGATAGTGTCAGTATACGTTCAGGTATTAATCTGTACTGGTCCGACTCTCGTGGAGGCACTGCCGGAGAAACTACATCAATGCAGAGTCTAAAATTAGCTCTCCTAATGACACCCAGTAAAAATGTGTGTAAACTAAAGACAGCACCAAATATAGTGCAGACTACCTAATCCTGATCTAGTTACTTGATTAGGTGTCTGAGGAAAAGCGGCAGAACAATGTCCAGCTGTTTCAGGTTTCTCTAAACAATCTAGTCAACAGAAGGTTTTAAGGATTGGATTGAACACACAAGGTCATGGCATAAAAGATGCCTATTGTGGATGTTATTTGGACTAAAGAGGCTAGTAATTCATCATTTTAGCCATAGACTGAGGGCCTGCAGCTGGACTCACTGTCATTAAGACATTAGCTGATCTTTTTTTTAAACACTGATATGTTTCTGGTATTTGTTACATCATTGTGCAGCTGCATACATGTTACAGTTATCACATTTGGCCACTAGATGGTGATGTATAAATATGAGAGGAGCAGCAAGTGCCTTTAGCTTTTCTGTGGCACCATGTGTTTTTGCTTTAGAGCCACTTGCCCTTGGATGTTGCTTTTACTGTTGGTGTTATCAAATCCACTTGTCTTGGAGACTGATCAGGTTGAATACCGAGTACATAATGTAACACACGCCAGGTCATCTATTCTCTGCGGCTGATGAGCTTCAAAAGCACTGACTGAAGTACAGTTTTTAAGACAAAACCATGCCTGCAGTGTACACATATCCTTCAGGGTGCAGAGTTACACAAACTTTGTTTTTATCCTGAATATAAAGAGAGTAAAGGGACAGTCACATCCCCGTCACACCAAGGTACACAATGCCTAGTGCAGTGTAAGCAGTTGGGTGAGCAGAGAGCCAGGGCTGTGGTGTGTGGAAAATGCTAGTGGTGGCAGACAATGCACTGGTCCGAGGCCTGACCAGCCCTGAGAGGGACAGGGGTCGCCTCACTGCGACAACAGCCCCCGTCTCCCTCCCTTCTTTTTCTTTTTTTGAGCTACCACAGCATGGGCTCAGGGAGGACGCTGAAGTTCGCCCTGTGCGAGGTGCTGCAGTTTGCGGGCCTGTGTGTGCCACTTTTCATCGTCATGCAGAGGTTCGCCGTCATCGTAGCGAAGGTCAAAACCTCGGCGCAGCCCCCCGGCGACGCCAGCACGGCCTACTGGTTGATTGTGGCCTCCTCCATTGCCTATGTGACCTCCACTGCCCTGCTGGTCTGGGTACCCCTGAAGTACATGGTCTTCATGAAGAAGAAGTTCCTCATTGGGAGGAAAAAGTGGTGAGTTTCTCCTGCCCTTGCTCTGATGCCAGGGGGAGCCAGAAATGGAGGTCCAGCTCTGTTAGCTGTGTGTGGTCAGCAGCTTGGTGCAGCACTGACCTGAGACCTGACCAGCTGGTTTGAGTCTGAACAGGACTGTAGCTAGTTTGGACTGCACTTGGCTTGTGAATACCATGAGTTAGCAAGTCCTGCAACTGCCTTTGTCTTCCTTCCTTACTGTTTTGTCTTTCCCTTCCTTTGTCTTTGTATCAGGAGGCCTGTGGCCCTCGTATATGTGATCCTGTCAACATTACCCTGCTTTGCCTTCCTCATCGCCAGCTCTGAGGTACAACATGCTGTGGATTGTGTGCTTTTTGTTTCATTTGTTTCATTACATCAATATATTTACTCTGATCCTGAACTTTGGCCCGTCGTTGTTGCCATATTTGTAACCAGAGTCAGTCTGTAATTGTAGTTCCTTTGTAGTTATTTTGGAGGATTGTGTTTATCATTCACAGAAGTTGCTTGGGACTTAAAAATAATACTTAAAATACTCACTACGACTTTACATTTGGGACCAAAATGATAAAAAAAAAAAAAAAGCTTTGTAGGTGAGTGTAATTGGTGTGAGGAATGGAATAAAGGTGATGATTTGCGAGGAATCCTTTGGTTCTCAGGGGAGGAATATCCAGCCTTATGGATAAGGAGCTACTGATAAGCAGCTTGGTTCCTCTTCCTGTCCAAGCTGCCCTTGTCAAATCATCTGTCCATGAGGCACATTTTCACTTCCTTACTGGCTGTAGCCCAGGTCCTATTTGCTGTTTTATGTGGCCCTTTCTAGAGCCCTAGTTGACCTTTTGGCCCTTGCTTATCTGGTGTCTTTTACATAAGAGCCATAAATTCTGCTAAGATGACCAGCTTGCCTGCTTTGTTCTGTGTCCTGTTGGTATGAAGTCCTGACTCAGGCAAATATCAGAGCTGCAAGTGATTTGGCCCACAAACCCAGTACAAGAGGGCAGAAACGTATATGTAAATGCTTGGTGCAAAGGTCCGTTATTGTTGAGGTAAACTGATGGGATCTATATTGAGTTAAGTTTTTAAGAATTAAGTAATTGAACTAATGCTTTTCTGGCTGTTTGCCCAGGTTCAGATAAATAACAACATGAAAAATGACACATTCACGGAGCTCCCTGTATCGCTAGTTCTCTTCTCTCTCATCTGTATTGACGTTGTGGAGAGGATACGCTACTGCAGACTGACTGGCCACGGTGAGCACTGCACACGTTATACAAATCACTCACTGAGTGCTATAGATCCTGAACTTTCCTCTGCCAACTTCTATAGTGATACCAGGCCGGCTTTACATTGCGGGAACTCTGAGGCAACAAATACAGCTAACAGCTCTTTATATCGTATATCCAGAACAATTTAGTGAACCATTTTGAGCTTCTTATTCTTTGGCGCCGTGCCTGCAGTTAAAGAATATTGGTGCAACTGAGGAAATGAGCAGGACATTTTTTAGCCACTTCTTGTAATACAGTGCTGAATCGACAAAACATCAGCTATGTTTTCATAAAGGGAGGCATCGAGGTGGTTTGAGTATAACACTGTTCATGTAGGATTCCTTGGAAAATCCAAAGCCCTTTGGGACTTCTTATTGACAGCTGCAGTGGTGGAATGTAAAGTATATTTATTTAAGTGCTATTTGGGGTACTTTAACTTGAGTATTTCCATTTTATCTAACTTTACTCCACTACATCCCTGACGCACATATTGTACTTTATTTAAATAGCTTTAGTTGCTATTTCTCACCTTTCCTGACCAGTAAAACCCATATGTCCCCAAAATTGGTAGTTTTGAGTGTTAATGTTTGTGATAAACTGAAGGAAGAAGTTCCTTTATGGGTTGAGAAACATCTTCTACTTCTTAAGCTAAACTATTTAAACCCCCTCTTGAAATTAGCTGGAAAATGCATTGTCACAAAGCTAAAAAGAGGTCGGTTTTTGAGAAAAGTTTACTGTTTAGAGATAGGTGTGATCTTACAGAATATGATGCATTGCTGTAGATTAAGTGTACAGTATATATAGTAGTTAAATTAGCACAACCATAAACATCTAGAACAATAAAATGCAACATAGACATTGGTGCACCACTTATATTGATCCAAAAACATCCTATATAATAGTGAAACACTGACTAATTTCAGACATAACCTTGTTTCCCTTTCCTCTCCCCAGCTAATGACATGGAGAGGGATGCTGACATCCCCTCCACTGTCCTCACACATGTGGAACAGGTAACACCAGTAACACCTGTCTCTCCAGCTGTGCCGGGGCCAGCTGTGCCCAGGCCAGCTGTGCCAGCTCCCACGCCACCGGGAGCAACCCAGCTCAATGACAGGAACCAGAATGGAGCAGGGGCTCAACCAGAGACCAACGGGACAGTCCCAGGGATTCCAGGTAATCCCGGGAGACCATTTAGCATCTCTGGATTGAGCTCACGATCAGCGAGCACCACAGCGTACCGCATACCTCCGTACGCCTACACGGGTCCACTGAGGATCCTGTGTGCCAGCGACGCCCGAGCAGATGTGTTTGTGGACAGCTTTATGTTCTGGATGGATACAGTGGAGATGGTGAGGGTGGCAGGACATCCCCTGGTCTACTACTCAGGCTGGGTGTTCCCTATCTATATCTTCAGCTACCTGTCTTGCCTGCGTGTGGTGGTCATGCCCCACAGCCCCCTGCTTTCCTCACTAGGAGTGGCCGTGCAGGACTTACCCTTCTTCTTTGTGCGTGTTGGCCTCATTGCCTTCTTTGGGTTTGTCACACCCATCCTCTATCTGATGAAGAACCTGTTGGTCTGCCTGGCCTTTGTCTACTTCAACTTCATGACTAAGCTGAGGGTCTTCAACACGGAGAGGATGTTCTTTTGAGACCAAGACAGCGAAACATTAAACATATAGTAGGAGTAACAAGTAGGATACTAGGGTTCAGGAGGTGGTTGCACCAGCTCTTCACAAGTTCAAACTTTACCTACGTATAACTCAAGTGTTTATTAAGTGGGGAATCACTAAATTTTAACAGGTTCTACCAGACAATGTCATTTTTACATAGAGATTTGCTATTAAAAGAAAAAGTGTGTTACTAGTATGCACTGTTGGCTGACACAACTAATGTTACATAAGATGGCACTTAATAGAAGGCTGTTTAACATTATGTCAACTGGGAAGATTTTAAATTAACACAATATTCCTCAAATTACAAAATGTTGTGCTCATAACATCAGACTGAATAGCTAAATAGTGACAGTTAGGTTAGCATAACCAGATGTTTTCCCACTCTTTCTGAAATGCATGAATGGGCTAGAGGAGAGCGGGGTTGGTTGTCACATTCTCAGAGGTCACCCACAAGGTCATTTCAGGAGTAAAGGCCTTTGCACACCAAGTATGTATTTTTTTTGTCCAAAACTGTTTTATACGACCTCACATTGTGTCAATCATCATCCAAAACCTTCGTCAGCCATTATATTTCCAGAACAGGTTTGATTTTCTGCATTGTTTCGCACCAGTCATATGAGAAAAGCACACAGACAGAGAGGAGGGCACAACTCTGCCTCTTGTAGTGCTAAATGCAAGATACAGGCAGAGAGTGACGACAGCCTGCGGATGAACATCCAGTGGAGAGAAGCAGGGGAGAAACTCTCCTTGTTCTTGACACCTTAGACCCAATATCTATTTTTTCTTTTAATGCTTTCAAGTGAAAGGACCACAGAATCATCCTCACTGCACGATGACTCCGTCTCATATTGTGAATTATGCAACAAATAGAGTAATAAATTGCATAAGACTCAGCGTGCAAGGTTTCTATGTGTAACAATTTGAATTGTATGGCAGACTAAAAAACTCATTCAGACTTGGGGCCTTACGGGTCGATACAGACCAAATCAGGCGCCATAATGCGGTGGCCAATCTGGTGATCAGACCAGTCAAACTGCTCCACAGTGAAACAAATGCTATCCAAATGGAGTTCATGGACCAAACTATCATACCCTCCCAGTTTTCTTTACTTCCCAAAACCCTTTAAAAAGTGTGTGAAACATATTTTTCTCCATATATAAATGAACAAAGAAGCATTCACATAGGTTACGTAGATAAGATTAATATATCATTTCAGTACGGTCCAACCTGGTTTAGCAATCACTAACTAGCTCATTGAAAGAACTTTAGGCTTAAAGGATTTAAGAAAAGCCAGTGCAACCAAAGTATGAATTTGTGCGACACAGAAGAGATATTTTATTAAAATGCATGATGGTACTTTTCACAGGCCAAAAGGGAGCTCTTAGGCAATGTTTTCCCATACAGGACGTTATGTCAAATGACTGTTGTGTTGTGTAGTATTTACCTTTATGTTCAAATATAGTTTTTTACCCCTCAACACCCCCCTCCCCCTCACCAAGCATGGCACTTTGGGAATGTACCTGTAATGTCAATTAAAGATTTTTTTGGCAGATTTTTTTCTACCATCATAAAGTGCAGTGAATATGTAAAAAGCATAAATCCATGTTGTTTATATTAGGTTTTTCTTTGCTAAGTTATATTCACAAAAGAAAAACAAAGTGTGAGTTTGTATCATTGATACATATATTTTGGTAAGATTAATAAAGAAAATCATATAAATACAATAAATACAAGTCTCACTAGTGTGATTTCTCATGTATGCACAATGTACTGACCTGATGACCTCTTTGTTTTTTGGCCTCCATTCAAACCCTTAACACTGGAATTCATCCCATATCTTCCAAATCACTCCCCAAGAGAACAGGTTTCCCGTCATTATTGAGCAAAAACATGCTCATCACATCCCTTCCTGTAATGGTCCAGAGCAAAAAAGCAATGACAGAAGACACAATGTCACTACACATGTGCAATCTGATCTAAAAACACATACTATTTCTGTGAAGATTAACATATTCAGGGATAAAATGGCAGAAAATATTCAATCAATTACAATAATAAGGTGAAAAAAGCTTATTATTACTGGGTCGTTTGCATGAAATTGTACTTGTATTCATGATATTACATCCACTTTCCACTATAAGATAGTTCTCTATAATGATCCTTGTTGTTACACTCAACATCACAGCATCACAGCACGTACTATTGTAAGAAAATCACTTTGCTAAGTTTATTTATTCACTTTAAATATAGCATATTGTCACAATTGTCTGTTTTTCCTTAACCCACCAGAACCCAGATATTTAATCTTGTGTGATTAGTATTTGGACTGAGTCATGATAATGTGCTGTACTTAACTATTAAATGCCTGCATTTTGCATCATTCTTCTGTACATGCTACACCTCACTTATTCTGTTGATATAATCTGTGTATACATGTTCTCCTCTCTTCTAAGCTGCACTAATCACTATGTTTTTATATTGACAATGGATCAAATGACTATGTGTAATGTGAAAGAAACCCACAGGGAATCTTTACCCACTTTTGCACTTCAGTTTTACCCTTTCAGCCTATTTTGGATCAATGTTTTGGTTTCCTGGCCCACTGTTATCAACCCTATTGCCAGCATTTAGCAGATAAAAAAGCCAGATATTTCCTTCAGGAGTTGGTGGAAATCAAAACACAGGTAAAAGGAGAGCGAATGTTGAATTTACATTGCATTACAGTGTTGATAATGTTTCTCCTTATCTGCTGCATGCGTAAAGATAATTGTTTTGTTAACAAAAGAATCAACTTTATGTTCTATCTTATCGTATTTGGACAATGATGATGATGATGCTGAAAATTGAGAGGCGTAATGAATGCGTTCACAGTCAAAGTTACTTAGATACTACTTCAAATGTTGGTTTTCCCTTTTAAAATATTATTAATTTTACATGATGAATTAGAAAGAAAGCACTCAGTGAGCAATTTGCACGTTAAGTTTACATCATGAATTTACAAACACTTAAATTATGTCAATAACAGGTTAAATGTTCATGGGGACATTATGAAGTCTGAAAACTTGGTCCAGCACACAGTATTTATCACCTTCGGATCTGCATGCTTTTGTAAACTTTTTTTTAAAAACAGGGCTTTAAACAGATGAAGGGAGCACATTTTTAAACCAGACTGGTGACCACAGAATCATGGAAATTTAATGCCAGTATGTGTAGGATTTGAACAATTCTGACTCCTAGTGGCAGAATGAAAACAGACACTGATCTGAGCAACTAGACCCAGTAACTGCAGCCTCATGATCAGACCAGAGACAAGGTAAGTCTAAGGTTTCAGTCATGATATTTTCATTAGAATATACTGTACAACTTGTAGTGATAGATTCTCCAACATCTCCATCTTTAATTCAGCATTGTCCATACAAAGGTATGTATTTCACAGGCACATGCCCAACTTGTCTGCAGCCCGTTAGTCTGAGCACCATCGCTGGGCATCCCTGCAGTATGAGGCCGAAGTGGTCAAATCTCTACTCACTTCCTCCAATAGGAAGCAGGATTTCCTCAAGCCCTCTCTTTCTACTAACGTGTGTCATCAGTGCACTCCTCAACCAGACCTCCTGGTATCCCACGAAAACCCCTACATCAGCAAAGTCCTGCAAATCTCATTTAATCCTCATTTACTTAGTAATGATAAAACTGGCACATTCCTGTCCAGATGTGTGTTCTTAAATCTTCTGACACCTGAAAATTCCTCAAAGGCAGTCTGAATGACACCTGCTGTCTGGGTTCATTATCCAGGCACAGATTTAGCACAGACTGAAGTACTATTTATAATAGATCAAAAATCTCAGATAAAGGCAACATTGAAGCCTGCTTGGATAAATTAATCCCCAAAATTCATCATCCGGTTCCTCTCTTGCCTTGTGATTTATTAAAAATAGAATTATTGTCCTACCCTGACAGTATGAGTTTTCTTGAAGCTATCATTAGTGACTTTCACTTTCTTGCTTAATAGTGAGATTATATTGCTCGCTTCCCACTTCCTGCCTTCCTCTGTCTCCTCTGCCAAAAAAATCTGTGGAAATTGCTGTGGTTTGACCAACCTTAGCTACCCATGTGACAGGATATCCATCAGTGTGATTAAGGGGGGAAAGCACCATGTCTCTGTGTCATTGTTGCTCTATGTCACACACCTTAGCACACACCAGACCCTTTCTCTCATGACTGGAAAACTCTCCTACAACTTTGTCCACCACTGAGTGCAAACCACACAATACGGATAATGTTACCCTGTTCAAACCTTGCTGTGGTCCTCTGTCTCCTGCACGTCATCTGCATTACCGCCGACATAGGTACGTACACCTGACACATTTTTTTGTCTTTTTAACTCCGCTGTGAGTAAAATTAGGAGAATAATCATGTAGTAAATTTAAACTGTCAATTGAGATGTGCTACTGAACCTGTTCTGTTCTGCTCCAGACAGTGGCTCCTTCCTGATCTACAACGAGAACCACAACAAGTGCATAAAGGCGGAGAGTGCCACCTCGATGACGGTGGCCCCCTGCGATCCTCATGCCAAAGAGCAGCAGTTTCGTTGGGCCTCCGAATCGCGCATCCTCAGTCTGTCCCTCAAGCTCTGCATGGGGGCCACAGAAATTAAAGACTGGGTGAAGGTGATCCTCTATGAATGTGATGAGGATAATGTCCTCCAACACTGGCAGTGCAAGAATGAGACCATCTTTGGCCTAAAAGACCAGGACCTGCACTTAAACTGGGGCAACCGCAATGAGAGGAACATAATGATCTACAAAGGCTCAGGGCTCTGGAGTCGCTGGAGGACATTTGGCACCCGGGGTGACCTTTGTTCAAAAGGGTTTCAAGGTAGGAAATGTGGGCACATGATTGATTGAAAGGGCCAAGAGCGTATAACAAAGAATCTAAACTGGAGCTGCAGTTTTTTAGAAAGGTTGTAAGGGTGTTTCAGAAAGTACTACAATAGTGTTTGTTGAGATGGAGATTGTTCTCAATAAAGTAAAGATTTTTGACAAGTACTATAATCAGCAAATTGTAATTTGTAAGCTCCAGTTTGGCGTGTAATAGCTTTTATTCTGACTCCAATTTACTAAAAGAGCAGGTTGTGGTCCTAATCTGATAAATGACTGATGCTTATTTAGCTTAGCTGTGAAAAACCCTACACTCATAGTGTGGACAAAGTTCCTCACCAGAAGATACAGTACGCTAGGGTTAGGGATAATAAATAAGCCAATGCTTGCTGACATTTTATTGTCCAGTTTGCCACAATTTACAATGTGTCACAAATAATATTAAAATGCATTTGAGGCACCCGGGGACAGTGGGTCGCTGATCTTCTCAGGGCAGCAATGGGATTCTGGCAAAACCACAGTCTGACTGTTGGACTTGAACCCATTTGCAACTCAATTAAACTTTCTGTAAATTAGAGCAATCTAAGAACTCATGCTACAGTAGAGAGTCTATGTCAAGAGCAGGCTTCAGAAAAGGCTTCAGTATGGGCAGCCAAATACATCGTAAATTGGTACACCAGCCATTAAATATCACTACAATGATAGTCTATGCGATAGTAGATGATAATGTGCTTCCAAATTTGTTTGGGTAGGGAACCTTTTTTTCAACATGGACTTTATGTATCCTGTGCATAAAGTAAGGTCCATAAAGAAATTGTTTTCTAAGTTTGGTGTGGAACAACTTCCATTACCCCAGGACTTCCATCCTTTAACACCTTTAGGGTGAACTGGAACTGCAACCTTGGCCTTGTCGCTTAATATTAGAGGTCACTTTGCTTGTTTTATTTTGCTAAACAAATGTTTGATTGTCTTTATATTCATTTTCTGTGTCTCCTCAGAGATTTTCACGATAGGGGGCAATGCCTTCGGAGGACCTTGTCAGTTCCCGTTCAAGTTTATGGAGAAGTGGTACGCTGAATGTACAAAGGATGGTCGCTCAGATGGACAACTGTGGTGTGCAACAGAGAGAGACTACGATAAAGAGAAAAAGTGGGGCTTTTGTCCCACCAAAGGTAAATGCCATCAACCATTTCACATGTATAGTGATCAGCATTCCTAAAGAGACTGTGAAGAATTATCTTGTTTGTAATTTTTCTGAGTGCTATCATGGAAGAGGTCAGTGCTGACAGGTCTTGTTTCTGACACCCCTCATCCTCCCCAGCAGAACAACACTACCAACTTCCTCCCATGAGTTGTCAACACAGCACTGTCCTTGTTATCCTCTTCTCACAGACCTCTTTCCTCTGACGCTGCTCTAAAACTAGGGCAGGAAAGGGACAGAAAAAGAAAGCGAGCTCACTTTTACTGTAGTTTTTTCATGAAACGTAGATGTTTCTCAAAACATTTATTGTCTTTTAAATTTAAAACCGGTTTTACGGTACTTTTACACCATGAAGTAAACCATTTCTCTCGGTTTTATAATTTTGTAGTACCTTGTATCTCTACCGTAATACAGCAACCTCAGGATGGGACACCGACCCGGTCACAGGGGTTCAGTATCAGAGGAACGCACAGTCAGTGTTGAACTGGCATCAGGCCAGGAAGAGCTGCCAGCAGCAGGGAGCCG